CTGTCAGGAAGCATGTGGCAATTGAAGTTCCTTCGAAATTTGCTGTCGAAGTCGCAACTATATTCCTGTTCTAGTATCAGTAGCTCTCCTGTTTCCGAACCTCTGACAGTTACTCCGTCTTTATACCAAGGTAACGTTCCCGCGTTCGTTTGAATTTGAGAGGGGTACTCGATGGTGAAGGGAAAGGTCCCAACTTTCCCGTGTTTCGGTGGCACTGCGATCGATGGCGCTATAGTTGCTGATGGCAGGTATATGAGCAATTGTTGCCGCCCGATTTCACAGGAAATGCCTATAAGAGCTTTGTAAGCACCGACAGCGATACGAAATAGTTAGCAGAAACAGCACTCGATAGCAAGAAAAGAAGGGAACCCAGATATTTAACAATATTTCTGAAAGAGAAAAGAGAGAAAGAGAGCTGAAGGGCAACATTTCACGATAATTTAGAGGGTAGTGTATGCTGTACAGAGACAGGTAAGATGAAGTTGACTTGTATTTGAAGATGCACGAAAAGGCAGCCACAAAAGAAAGGCAGAAAACATGGGACGACGCTCTGCTATACCTGAATTTTTTTGTTCAGAATGCACACTTATATAACGCGATCCCTGTGATTCCCCACCATGACAACAGATAACAGAGTGTTATCTAAACCAGCGCGCCATCTGCTAGCACGTGTCGTTGTAGGAACCGCAGCTACTTCTAAACTATCACTCAGGACATTCCCGACTGGCTAAGAAAGGTATATCCTGAAAAGCTGAAATCCGTGCTCGACAAATCACGCGTGCACCAAATGAGCAATAATTTTGAATCACAGCTCTAAAGAATGAAGGAAACGAGATTGCCATATGGTGTCATCACTGCCACGGGTGAAAAATTAAGAAGAGCCATCAAGCTGAAGGCAAACGAACACTTCCTTGTCGCCTCTCATGCAGGACGTCGAAAGAGTGGACACGATCACGGTCTTATAGGCTTAAATACCGTGCGTCCACTAGTCATCACCAACCTCGTGAAATTAAGCTCGAGATATATGATATCAGCATTGTGGTTTTCGCTATTCAAAAGATGGGGCACATTTGCTCCGCCATCAGCATGTGTGCTAAATGTCCGTCACGAAACGCCAAGGCATGCAGCGTGAGACGCACCAAGTCTTTTAAAGCTGGATTCACACGTGAGGGCAGAATCTCGCTGCTCCACGGACCAAATAGTTACGTCATTAGTTTAATCCAGTGCAGCAGCGGAGACGTCGCATGCACACAGCCGGACACGCTCGCGGAATCCTCGTGCGTATACTCTCGACTCATATGCGCTAATGCGACCAAAAACCGCTCACCTCTTCCACTGTCACACGAAATACATTCCGTCGATGCCGAAAAACTAAGACACGAGGCTTTTAAGCTGGCAGCCTGCTTCCTAGCCACGCCAATCCGACCAATGCTGACAGAATTGACGCTGAATCCTCTCGATCGAGGGCAGACGACCGTCCAACGCATGGACCTAAATAATAGCGGCGACGTATTTCCATGTGTGCCACAAGCGAAGAAGAGCGAGGATGGCAAGTTTCGATGACGCGCACGTCACGTGATGCGCCGTTCACTGCGAAAATTACTCCTTCATTCCCTCGTATGAATCCACCTTGCGCAGCAGGTGTCGTATATATAGAGTGTCCCCATCATAGGGATGGTCTACGTCGGGCAGCTCCTCGATTAGCCGGCTTTTCACACACTTGGTCATGCACTAAGCAAGGAGTGTAAGAAGAGTAGATGCAGGCCTCTGTCCAAAAAGACCATAGTGGTTTACACGTACTGTGGGAAAACTCAGGGGGAAATCACCATGGCCTTTCATATCAGCCGGGAAAATTTGAGCTGCATAAAGTACCCCTCCATCAGTTTACATGAAACAGAAATAGGGTTCCTACAACGACATGTGCCAGCAGCTGATTGATTTGTGGGGTTTAACGTCCCAAAACCACCATATGATTATGAGAGACGCCGTACTGGAGGGCTCCGGAAATTTTGACCACCTGGGATTCTTTAACGTGCATCCAAATCTGAGTACACGGGCCTACAACATTTCCGCCTCCATCGGAAATGCAGCCGTCACAGCCGGGATTTGATCCCGCGACCTGCGGGTCAGCAGATGTGCCAGCAGCTGACAAGCTGATTTGGTAAGTCTGCTATCGGTCGTCATGGCGGAAGATCATTGAGATCACGTTGTACAAATGTGCATTATAAATAAAAAAAAATCACTTAGTTGCGTGTCGTGCCATGTTTCCTGCCTTTGTTCTGTTGTGATTGTCTTTCACGTAATTTCAAACTTGAATACGAATCAACTTGCCCAACTGTCAATCAGGCTGCAAGTTGACTTGTGTGGTGAAATCATCTAGAAAATACCTTACATGTTTTATTCTAATGCCAAAGTGTATCGAGAAATCTGGTCGCGTATGGCTTGGACACGACGTTCTTTATGGAATGTTAAACCTGAATTATACTGCACTTTAAAAAAAGGAGGGAGCGAGAATGGAGCAAAGGCTTCCGTTTCTCTTTACCTTACCCGTCACGCCTTCTCACGGCAAGGGCCAAAGGAGCAAAGTTTATCCTGCGTGATGTAAGGCTGCATTAGTGTACTGTAAAATAAGTGTACGGGACATCCCCATGATAAGCTTATTATGCTGGGCCTGGCTGCTCATCTTGTACTCCAAAGGAGCTTTCTGATTGCTGACTAACTGGCACCCGTGTACTATGGGGGCTTCAGCTATATGGAAGGACAGCTGCTTTTATATGGCGCAGATCTTTAACTTGCTTACATACATATCGTCAGCTTGTTCTTTATTTTTTAACAGCAACATGATGTCTTAATTTCTTTCTACTTGTAAATTCACCTTTCGCTAGCTAAGTTGCACGTGATCAGACTTAATTAATTTTCACTCTTGCATATGTTATATACTACAGAGGTCTTCTCTGCTCAATTTTTCACAATGTCTGCTTGTAAATAAGCTTCCAGCTCACTTCGTTTTCCGTGGAATGTTTTGTTTTGAAAGTGACAAACTTTTTCAACATTCTATATCTCCATTTAGGATGGCAAAAACAAAAAAAAAATTACATAATAAACTATTTCACTCATACGGCAGCAAAAAAGCAAAAGCATCATTTAGGCTGCCAGTTACTAAGCGCCATACTTTGCTTATTAAAAAGCTAATCGGCAGAAATTTTTATGGGAAAGTATTCCTATAAGCGCAAAAAAAAACCTCACAGAAACAACTGATTCGGGTTATTTTTGGGCTACTTCAAATTTATCCATTTGGATACATTTGGGTTACTGCGAAGTCTATTTTGGCGGTTTGGGGTTTGCGCAATCTGGTAACCCTGGTCTACAGTTTGGAGGCACATTTCGTAGCCTGTGGCCCCGTAAATGCGTGGATAACGTCGCCACACTATGTGAATCTTCGATAAATGAACACAGCAAGCCTAGCATTCAGTGTCCGGGTGAGAACTCTGCAGTATCCGTCAATGCCGTCTCGCTGGCCGAACGAAACATGCGAGTTCCATCGTTCTGTTTTGTGATGTTTTCATCACCACAGGTCCTTCTGCTTGGTTGTATTGCCATTTACTTCGATATCAAGCTCAGGGGGACAGTTTTTTGTGATTGTCAGTGCCGTGTACTCCTTATCAGTCGACAATCGGTGCATTCCCTAGGCCTATTCGGTTCGCTAACTGGGGGTCAGCCATCTTGAATCTGATGAGGAGAAACGGTTTCTCCGCGGCAAAAGAGAGGAAAGTTTCTTCATTTAAAGGCTAACATTGGAGACATCGGCGTTTCTCCCCAAATGGAGAGAGCATCACTCCATTTTTTAAGAGGGATAAGCGCATCTATACCCAAAAGGGGGCGGGTGTGCGCTGCCCCCCCCCCCCCCCCGCACAGACACACACTTTTGAGGGCGGTCACTGTCGGTAGCGCCATGGCAAACAAACAACTAAAGGTGGTTGAAAGCTGTCAGTCACAAATGACTGAGCCGTAGTTCATCATCTTCGGCACCATCATAATCGAGTGTGTTCCCCTACTCTTTTGTCTGCTCAAGCTCCTATCTTGATGGTGATGATAAAGCTGTCAAGTGTGTCGGAATGCCAGCGCTACAGCCAGTATCGAACTCGAGACCTCACGTTCAGCAGCGCAAAACGCCATAATGCTACGTGATGGGTTTGTTGCGATAGAAGTGTACACTTATCACTTGTGCCAATCGTCTTTACATGAACCAAAGTAGGCGCCTGGTATGATCACGTGAGAATGTTGGTATCACGCCTACTTCTGCTCTCGTATTGATAACGGTAGCAAGCCGGCTCACTGCTGGATAGAATCAGTGTGTGTGCGTGTGTAGCGGAGAGTCGCGAGTGTTCTTTTCGTGTGACACGCCGACGGGGCAGCTGCGTCCTTCGGATGATACCGCCGACCATCTAGGGCCCGAGTTCTGACAAAGTGGTTGCCCCAAGGTGCCTTCGAATTCCTGCGGTGAAAGTCACAACACTACATGACAATACCTTCTGCCAGTAAAGGCCAATAATTTGCTATGACAAGACAGTGATCCTCAGTACAGCTTTAACAATTTATTTTGTCATCGCTAAAGCGGGTATGCGTGCATTGTTTGTATTTATATGATCAATTTTGTTTATTTCCCCAAAGCTGACCTGCACATCCTTTGTTGCACATTGTATTGGACCGGCCGCTAGCAACTTTAGGCTATCGGTTCAAATTGTCCTTGTATTTTCATTATTTTTTTCATGAAACCAAGTTCCCTTGGTTTACTGACTGATTGATAGTTTATTCCTGAACTTTACAAAGTGCTTCAAATAGTCTCATAACCAGCGAGACAGCACACAAGTGCCGAAGCACAAGTAATACTTTATTGCGGATACAGAAACAGGTATGAAGTAGGTATGAGCGACAGTTTTGGTATTCAAGAGCACCAACAAGAGTCGTACGTGAGATTGCAGCATGGCGCAGAGATCATACTAATTCAGGCCAGTTCGAAGGCACTTTCGTGCAGGGTTCATAAATGACTTCGGCCTGCAGCGGAAAGCTTCGGCAAAGTGCGGCGTGTTGCGCAGAGGCCCATTGACGCGGAACCAGGCTGGGCTCTTGAAGCCGTTGACCGCGTTCCAACGCTTAAGCCTAGGTGTGAAGTTCTCACACAGGCTGGAGGCGTAGTACACAAAGAAGAGCCGTGGTGCGTCCAGAACATCCTTTTTGCTGATGCCCATGCGCAGTGTTGTGTCCGTCTGGCGTAAGTAAAACATGAAAGCCTCGTACGCTAGCGGTATGGCCAGTCCGTCCCACAGGTCTTGCAGTGGCCAGCTTCCATTGCCAGGGCTTGAGGTTTTGCGTAGCCAGGACATGTGGTCGTAGTCATGTGCGAGGCATCTGCGCAGGCTGGCGAAACTTCGTACAAACTTGCGCTGGTGTCTACGTCCCTGGTCGAACGCCAGTGTCCACGCATGCAGCACGTTGAAGAGGCGGCCATAAATTCGGGGAGCGATCCTGGCTATTTGAAGGGCCCCGGTAGTCGTGTCATTGTAGACATTCAAGTTGAACGTGGCCGGCGGAATTTCTAGCCTCTGGTACGGATAGGGCACCTTGGGTTCGCTACTCAGAAAGCCACCCCGCCACGTCCACGGAAGCCCTCGTTGCGACGAGGTTGTCAGCCACTGATGCATAGTGGAGGACGTAGACACGCTGCTATCCTGGTAGGCCTCGCGAGCGTACTGGAATCGTACTGAGTCGTTCAAAAGCATGGTCGGGAACAGTGGCTCCCATTGGATTGCGTCGAGTCCCGTAATGAGGCGTCCTCGGAGGGTGTTACTGAAGGAGTGAATTCCAAGCACGTAATCGCGAAAGACGTCCCGAAGCTGAACTAGAAGCCACAGGATGAACTTTCGACCACCAAGGACGCTTTCTGAGAAGCCGCGTGATAAGTACAGAGGTATATTGGGTTCAAAACGGTTGAGAATCCTAAGGCAAGCTTTTGTTTGACGAAGAGGACGGTGAAGTTCTGGAAAGGTCGCATAACCTATGGAACCGAAGCTGTCCCTTACGCGGCTGTCGTAATTCAATGGCAGCAGAAGAACTGCGAGGCGAAAGAGCATGTAGTGGACCAACTCTGTAGACGATGGTAAGGCGTCTTCGACGGCGAGTGCAAACACATACTCTGGCGAGCCAAGTACCACTGAAGTCGACTTATCTATACCGTCGTCTCCAAAGGCCGTGCGTAAAAGTGAAATCCATTCAATCCGTTGCATCACCGGCAGTTGAGACACCTGTAAGGTAGGGCATCTATCGAAATTATCATCCTCGCGGAGCCTGAAAAAGTTTGCTAACCGCTTCTCCACTTTCAAGACGTCAGTTTTAAAGCTTCTTCGGAAGTACGCCAGCAACGACTCGAAGTAATGTCTAGTCAGTTGCTCTTCTTGGGCACCTTGCTTGGAACGAACAAGGACCGTAGTAGGCTGCTGAATAACTAGTAGTGGACCGTTTCCAGTGGTCGATTCGACCTGCAAATAATCAGGTGACAGTAAATTAGCAAACATACATGCAAATTTCCCTTCACATGCCCAGTTATTTCAATGAATGATGCTACTTTCCTCCAAACGTGGTTCGCGGCTGGCGCGAACCGCTCTAGTAGCGCCATAAATGTGTGTTTATATGTCTGCTTGAGTAATCATCAGCTAGTCGTTATGCAGTGCACATGACTATAGTTATTTACTCTTAAACCTTGACCCATTGACCGTGTTAATATTCCAAATCTTGAATACGAACAGTATGCCATTCCTTGTGCCACCGAGTAAAAAATTTGGTGTTCGAAATAGTGCGCCCATACCACTATTACCTGTGTACTAATGTTGCTAAAAAACGTACTTCAGAAATGATGTACAGTATGAAAGTTAAACAGTGACGTCGCATGACTAATGGCGACTGTGACTAGGAATAACAAATTACCGAAAAAATAAGCGGGAAAATACCTCATGACGCTTAACGGACGTGAAAATGTTGTAACTTACTCTACTCTCAGCAATATGGATATAGACCAGGTTTGTCAGCAGTCACACGGCTATAGCCGAGATGTCCAACAGTATTGCAAATGTACTCAACATAAGAGAACAAATAGATGCCATTTTTCTGGACTTTGCGAAAACGTTTGATGTTCCCCGTCATGATCTCGTGATAAAAACGCAAAGAACCGGTATTGAGCAAAACGTTATGAAATCGGTAATGCGCTACTCGATAAAATCGTAAACAATTTGTTTCTGTGAACAACAATATCTCAAGCAGCCTAGACGTCCTGCGCCAATTTCATTCCTATCCATAGTAGTGTCATTCCTTTAACCGTCGACTAATCCATTCAACCAACAATTTTCGCAGAAGACTGAGTCATGTACACGTATGGTAAATCTAACGGAGGACCAGGTTAACCTTTAACGCTCGTTACAAAAAAATTCAAGCATGGTGCTCGCATCGCAGAATAACACTAAGCGCGACGAAAACTGGAGCCATACGTCTCACAAATGAGAAAAAGCCTCTTAACTGTCTTAGCAGATTAGAAAATAAGGAAATCAATAAATGTAATCACGTGAAATAGTTGGGAGTTATAATGACATCCAACCTAATTTTTGAACCTCATGTAGCGACTATTTGTTCTACAGCGCACACGCAAAAAAGATATGTCGTTCCTCGAAACAAAACTACGCAATGAAAGTAAAACAAACCGCATATCAGGCACGGATTATACCAGCACTAGAGTATGCTGACGCCATTTGGAGTCCCCATCAAAAATTTCCCATCAACAAACTTAAGTGAATCGAAAATTTGGCAGTTTCATTTGCGTGTTCAAATTATTCCACGCGTACCGGTGCTACCGCTCTGTGTGAAACAGCCGGACTGTGTTGTCTTGATAAACCTAGAATACTTTTCAAACTCGAATTTCTGTATTCTTTGTAGCATGAGCATTATAAAGTATCAAAAACAGAACATTTCCCTGAACCCCTGAGGAACTTCTCAAGAACTAACCACAAGAAGACAATACGGCTGTCTAAAAGCTATCTTTTAGCATCATCACAGCATACTAGAATAATATACCATTATCTGCGATGAACTGTGAACGGTTAAAATTTTTCGCTAAATAAATCAGCGATATTTGTTTTCTCCTAAGCAGTGTACTAAATCGTGAATAAAGTAACGAAATTACACAGTAATTACAAATGTTTCTTCTCACAATTTTGTACAACTTTGTGTGTTCTCGCATGTGATCTAAACAGACACTATTTTTGAAACTGTTGCTAACACTTCTCCAGGCACTTAATTGTTGATTATTGATAAGTGGTGTTTAACGTCCCCAAAACCACTATATGATTATGAGAGACGCCGTAGTAGAGGGCTCCGGAAATTTCGACCACCTGGGGTTCTTTAACGTGCACCCAAATCTGAGCACACGGGCCTACAACATTTCCGCCTCCATCGGAAATGCAGCCGCCGCAGCCGGGATTCGATCCCGCGACATGCGGGTCAGCATGTCGAGTACCTTAGCCACTAGACCACCACGGCGGGGCGAGCACTTAACTGTTCATTTGGACAAAGTCCCCTTATTTTTTCAATGCCAGTGCGAACGCGCGCTCCTCAACAGGAGCAGTCAGTTCACCGTATAGTTCACGGAGTATACTCGTGATGCGACTTCGCTTGCAGGGTTGGGCTGCTTGCGTCAAACGTGCGCCCGAGCGCGTTCTTATGGAGATGTAATAGATATGTTTGTCTCTTCAATATCATACGTCTATGAGATCTGCTCCTTCTTGCACCTTCTTTGTGACTCGAAACAATGCCTCCACTGCCTCGAAGTGCTCTTAAAGTCAGCGCATGCAGCAGCGTCTCAGCGACGCTTTCCCATTAGTTGCCCGCTTAGGCCCACGAACAGCGACACGCTATTTCAAAACACCATCTTTTACAGAGCTAGCGTGATCGACAACATTCTGAACACGAGTAATGCAAGACGCCGCCCTATACGGACCTATACACAGCTGAACAAAAAAAAACAACAAAACTACTTCATATGATGTCCGTCGTGAGGCAGCACATAACATGTTCTCTCCTCCACGACCACAAATCACAGGCCAAGTGCATGGTCGGTGCGAGCAGGAACGGGCTGCAGGAGAGAACGGTGAACGGGTGGATCGGGTGCATATGGCGGACATGGTAAAAATATACAGGAGGTGCTGATATAGACTGTGTTCGTCATATGCAAAAAAATTAAATAAATAAATATGTCGGCCAACATTCGTTGGGCTAGTGGCGCAATCGCTAAAAGGCCTATTTAGGTGCTTTGCATAAAGTATGTAATTATGTTTTAAACACACACACACACACACACAGATATATATATATATATATATATATATATATATATATATATATATATATATATATATATATATATTGTTACATCTACGAGAGGGGTTTATTCAGAGCCGACGTAACTGTCGACTCGACGGTATACAGCAGTGAACGCGCACCAACGAGCTCTTGCCACCAACCGAACGTCCTTTTCTGCCACCACCATGTTCCCCGCTACACAGGTGCACATACCTAAAATTACACATGTGGTAACATTTCCCTTCGCGCAGATGAAGCCCACTGGGCGAGTCAAACAGTCTCTCGAGGAATAAAGCGCTTCAAACGTGCAACATGGACAAGTTCAGTTTTTGCAGACCATTGGCCGTTCGAATGGAGACGCGCTATGCGGTAAACTAAATCACTGATACGGTCTACAACAAGATAAGGTCCCGCATAGTGCGCTAGCAGTTTCTCGCTCAAACCGCGTTTTCTAGTTGGTGTCCACAGCAACACTAGGTCGCCGCGATTGTACGTCATGTGTCGGCGTCGGCGGTCAAGATGTGCCTTCGAGCGGCCTCGTGAAGCAAGAGTGCGCAAATAAGCAAGGCGTCTAGCTTCTTCTGCCCGACAGATGATCTCGGATATGCAGGGATCATGGTGGTCCAAGCACGGGAAGATGGTATTCAGGGTATGACAAGGTGGTCGAGCATATAGAAGCAAGAAAGGACTGTAGCCGGTAGTTTCATGCTGAGCGGTGTTCAATGCATATGTGATAAAGGGTAGAATACTGTCCCAGTCCTTGTGATCTGATGCAACATACATAGACAACATGTTCGAGAGAGTTATGTTCGTTCGTTCAGTTAGACCGTTCGTTTGGGGATGATATGGCGTAGAGTGCCTAAACCTTGAAGCACAGACACGAAGCATCTCTTCCATCACGTCGGCTGTGAATTGTCGGCCACGGTCACTGATTACAATTTTGGGAGGTGCATGTCGAAGAATTACAAAACGTAGCATGAAGGAAGACACATCGGCTGCAGTTGCCGATGGTATGGCAGCTGTCTCGCAGTACCGTGTTAAATGGTCGGTGCAAACGACTATCCAGCGATTTCCATCAGAAGACCACGGAAAGGGTCCGAGGAGGTCAATCCCGATTCGCTCGAATGGAGTTCAAGGGGGCGGCACCGGACGAAGTGCCCAGTGCGCCAGCCGACCAGATGGGTCATGCCGATTGACCAACCAGCTTAGAGAATGATGGTCTGTCACGACGGTGAAGGGGCGTCCGTACAGGTAGGACCGGAAGCGCTGTACTGCGAAGACTACTGCAAGGCATCCTTGCTCTGTGACAGTGTAGTTACGATCGGACTTGCTGAGCGAGCGACTTGCATATGCTACGACGTGTTCTTGATTATCCAAGCGTTGAACCAGGACAGCACCTACACCAATACCGCTGGCGTCTGTGTGAATCTCAGTGGGAGCCAGAGGGTTGAAGTGTCGAAGAATCGGATGAGACGTCAAAAGAAACTTCAACTCCAAAAAAGCAGACTCGCATTCCGGGGTCCAGTCAAACTGCGCACCTTTCTGAAGCAGACACGTGAGTGGGTACGCGATATTGGCAAAGCCAGGAATGAATCGACGAAAGTATGAACAAAGCCCCAAAAAGCTGCGCAGTTCTTTCACCGAGTTTGGTTGCTTACATGCCTCCACTGCGGCCGTCTTGGCGGGATACGGTCGTTTATCAATCATAGCCATAATGGTGGTTTCCCTGGCATGCAGATTATCGCAACGGGTCTTATCCGGGGAATCATTGCAATCTGGAAAGGTGGCAAGCGAGAATACTTGGTGTTCACGAATCTCTGCAAGTTTCAGACCCTCCGGCAGCGCTGTAGGTTCATTAGAGCAGTTAATCACCCATAAACCAGTATGCCCTTGCGCAACCGATAGCGTGCAGTAGGGTATTAAAACTGTCATCTGTATGCAACTGAGATGCACGGGCTCCACAGTTGCGTCAAATGTTTTCTCGCTTGCAGGTGAACAGACAACAGGGACACATTTTGTAGACAATGGCGGCACAGTTGTGTCCACAGACACGCAAAGAGCACTTTCTTGAGAGGACGAGTTTTCCATAAACGCAACTTGGATATCGGAATCTACTGTAATTTTTCCTGTGCGG